TCTGGGATGATTGGTCAGGGTGCGGGAGGAAGAAACCATGGTAAATGTCATGTTATAGAACCAGATCCAGAACTTTCAAAGATTTTATTTTATTTATTTATTTTTAGAGAGGGGAGAAGGGAGGGAGAAAGAGAAAGAGAAACAGCGATGTGTGAGAGAAACATTATCAGTTATCTCTTGCATGCCCAGACCTGGGGACTTGGCCTGCAACCCAGGCCTGTGCCCTGACCAGGAAGGGAACAGCAACCCTTCAGTTCACAGGCTGGTGCTCAATCCACAGAGCCACACCATCCAGGGCCGGCCGGATTCAGAACTTTGAAATCCACATGTAATCCCTTGTCTGGCAATAAATTCTTAGTCCCTAAAAGGAGATTTTTGGCTTGATTCTGGGATAGGGAAGAGGGAGCCTATGTACAATGACTGTGCATGTGAGCCTTTTCATACACATGTCACCTGATCTTCAATATCATCCTCGGAGTTCATGGTGAGGCTTAGAGAGGTTAGACAGGCTATGCAAATCTCACAACTCAAAATCCGAGGTTTCACTGAAAGAGCCAGAGAGAGCCAGACACTAGGAATTTTCCTCAAGTGACTCCAACCTGGCCTAAGCTACAGGCAAGGGTCTGCATGGTGCTTTCTTGGACAATGTGTCATGGAGTGTGAAGACAGGTGGAAGAAAAAGCTTTATCCTTTTGGTAGGTGATATTTAAGACAAAGATCTGGTAATGAAATTTTTACTGGGACAATCTACTCTTTCTTTCTGAAGTTCATCACAAAAAGAACATTTGAGTGGGGACAATTTATGACCGAGAGACTACCTCTTCCCCCAACTGCCAAGCCTTGATAGGTATGAGACAGAGTAGCTGAAATTAAGCTGCTCTAGAAAGATTGGTATATAGACCATCATGACCCTAACAGTGATCATTTTGAAAGGTAAACTCATAGAAAAAAATACTTAGCATTTTGCAGGACTAACGCCCAAGAACTTTGAAATCCACATCCACAGGGTTTTTTTCCATGAAGTTCCTTATGTTGTACCTGGTGATTAAACTGCCCTGACTTACAGTTTTGCCTCACAAGTTCCATCCATGTTTCCTTTCTCTCCCTCTTTGCTCCCTCTGCTCCACACTCTTTTTTTTTTTAATATTAAATTTTATTTAGTTACTTTTCAAGTACATTTTTTTTTAATCTATTTCTCCCATCCCACCCCCCCCCCCCCCCCCCCCCGCCCGGTCTCCCCCCTCCCTCCCATTCTCCCCCCCCCCCCCAGTCCTCATCTCTGTGTCTTTCATACTTGTTCCTCAAAACCCCTCCCCCCTTTTCCCCTTAAGTTCCCTTCCCTCTCCCCTCTGGTCGCTGCCCACTTGTTCTCTATTTCAGCGTCTTTGTTTTTATTCTGTTTGCTTGTTTGTTTTACTCCACACTCTTCTCTCACTCTCCTGTCTGGTATTGTCTTGTTGGCTCCAGTTACAGAGAGAGAAAGGGGAGCAGGTACGTTAACTGACAAAAGCTTTGGTGACTAAAGGAGACTTTATCTGCTATCTGTTTCAGTGTATACAATTTGCATTTTTAAGAAGCCTTGAGGCAGGGGTGTTCCTCCCCAAGGAGTGACTCTCCAATCATCAAATTTCTGACAATCCTCCTAGGGAGAACTGATAATGATAACAATCCTTGGGCATTTTTGCTCTGGTCTCTCGTGAGCCCTGCGCAGTGCTAAACAGTTGCAGGCATGACTGGTTCTCACAACGGCCTGCCAAGGAGGCACAGGCATCCCCACCCAGAAAAGGACACTAGGTTTCAGAGGGATGAAGTCATTAATGCTATTCACTAAGGCCCAGGGAGAATAGAACCGAGGAGCGTTTGGCTTCCAAGTCCTACCTTTTTTGACACTCCTACTGCTTCCCTAAAAGGAGATAGTAGGGTTCCTCTGGTCAGCTGGTCTCTGGGGTGCTGGATGGCTTCCTCCACCCACTACACCAGGGACAGGTACAGCATGCACCCACCCGTCAATGAAAGGAGAAAGAGGCAGGGCTCTGCAAGTTCCTTCAGAACCAACACCACCCAGAGTTCTGCCTGCAAGGCTGGTCACTTCTGTGGTCTCCACTTTACCCACTTTGCAGGACTTCCTGTACTCAAGTAGGGTTTCTCACACAAAAGGATCTCCTCAAGTGAAGGAATCAAAAACAAAACTAGGCACCCAGGGCTTATTGTGACATTTTTACGTGGACCTGGGCTGATAAACTCACAGTGAGTGGTCTTTTCAAATTGCCTTCAGGTGTTAGTTTAAGAGAGTAGGTAAAAAAGAAAGGTTAAAACGATTTTTAAGATTTGGTAAAAGGGAACGATTGATACGCATCGGGCCCAGTAATAATGCCCTGCAAAGCTGTCAGTTTGTAGTAAAGTGACAAGAGCAGCTGAAGGGAAAGCCTGCATGGTTTATGGTCATGAACTTGGATCACTTTGATGAATCCACTAGGTTGAGTTATTAGAAAAATGAAATGAAATGTTTGCCCTGGTTCCAGAATTTCCAACTGCCCTGCAGGACAAAAAAAGTCCTTTTCTGTATCTATTTAATTTTATAATATGCATAACAGTTTCCATGAAGTATCTTGTTCTGAATTTATCAGAGCTTTAAACAAATGTCATGACCTGTTTTAATTTAATGAGTAATGTTATCCATTTAAATATGGTAGATCTTTTCTTTCCCTTGCTAAAGTTGCCCACAGATGGGGACTTTCTCTTTATAAAGGCAGATACCTAAATACCACTTAGAAATGGAGAGAAAGAGGGGAAAAAAGTGTGTCTGCAATAAATATTGCAGCCAATTAGGCTTCATCATGGTAATTTCTCTGGCCTTGTAATGTTTGTTTACTGGATTTTGTTGGGAAATTTTTGCCATTTCTAATTTGAGACTCATCGAACCTCCACCCACACATTTTCCTGCAATGGGAGGTTCTGATAATGGGAAATATTTTCTTCCTCACCAGACCCCATCTCGATTATGAATTAGACGTTCAAAGATCCAGACCCAAACATGTAAATCTGTTTGTACACATTCAAGAAAGCTCTCATACGTTTCCTAAAAACCCACACATTAATACTGCTTACTTTTCGGCGGGGCTAAAGGGGGGTCTCAGAGACCTACTCAGAACAGGCTGGAGTTAAATAATATTGCGTGTTTTTCATTTTACTGTGATGAATGCAAAGCTATTAAATAACCTTTTAAAGAGTTGGTGTAATTATATGTAAACAGTAATGCTACAAAAAAAAGGTCAAGTCGTCCTGCCATTAGATGTTTATGGATATAAACCAGATTTATGTTTCCATAAAACAGGGACCGACTAAACTAGATTAATTCTCCACAAACTAAACCAACTGTAGTAATATTTAGACACAATAAAATGATGCCAATTAAAACAATTTTATCTTTTGTGTCATATTGATTAATGGGGCACTCAAATTAACCAGAGACCTTAAACTCAGAATGGCTGGCAAAAGGCGCCCACATCTCAATGTTATTACCAACAAGAAGAGCCGTTAAGTGAGATGGCTGTGCAATAGTATGAATATTTAATTAATAATTAGTCATGTAATTCCTCCTCAGGAATTATTATCCCTCAAACTGGTTTGTGAATTTAATTATTAGCAGCCTTTTTGTTTCCATGTCCCCTCATTACTGTCAGGATTGATGTAACATAAACTTCATTAAAAATTAAAGCAAGAGTCTTAATTACAAGGCTACCCTGACTGAAGTTAGAATTAGCCAAGTCAGTGATGTGCAAATGAGTGCATTATTTAAGAAACATGCTGGAAGTAGTTATGCTAATGTAGAAGGTTCGCAGTAGCAGACCTTTTCACTCGCAGTTGCATATTCATTAAATGCACTATGCAAATTTAATGTAGCAGTCTTAGTAATGCGTTGTTAATTTATTCAGATTTATTGAGTACGACTTGTAAAAAAAGTCCAAATTTAATTACTCTATCTGGTAGGGATAATGTGAGGAGCTAGCAGAGGTTTAAAATGTGTTGATCTGGATTACTGTAGTTTGATGGAAGATGTGGTATCAAAGGACACAATTTTGATAACTGGGCTTGAAAGAATATTTGATTTACTTATGGAATGATCTAAGAAATCACTAAAATTGCACATGTTCTTTCCCAATAGGAAAGTAAAAAAGTCTCGGTTGTATTAACTTAAGAGCTAAAGCAGTGCTGAGTCCACAGCCTAATGGTCCTAATGACTCTACAGAGACCCGTAAAGGTTATGGATTGAGATCCGTGTGAAGCAAACTGTCTTTGTGGAAAGTTCATTGGTGGCCGCCTGCGCCTCCACGGTGCGCGGACGACTGACGGGTGGAACCACAGCAACACTTGCTTCACTCGCCGGTGGAAGTGCCCTGGTGCCCACATTGGGCGCTGTCTGTTAAGGTGGGTGGATGCTTGGGTGAAGAAATCCTTCTTCGAAAGAGATCACAAACCACACCTGCCCCAGACACCTTGGCATGACATTTTCCGAGAGGGCATGCAGGGATTGCTCTTCACACGTCTGTGCTCACCCAATTCCCTTAAAACCCTGAAATGTAGGTTTTTCTTATGCCCATCTTACAGATAGAAAACCAAAGCTGGGACTGGAATAGCCATTGCTGCAGGTGGAAGAGCTGGGATTCAAATCCAGACCAGTGTTCTTGCCAAACCTGGGTTCACTGCTCCTCACTCTTCCTCTTTTTCCTCCACCTTCCCCCAAAGTCTCCTTCCATCCTCTTTCCTTCTCCCTCCTCCTTTCCTCTCAGAAATTTCTCTCATCTTGCAAGTTTCTTCCACTATTTCAGCCCCTTCTTCTATTGCTCTCTCTTCCTCTCCCTCCTCTTTCTTTCGTTCTCTCCCTCTCTCCTTCCTCCTTGCATTTCCTTTCTCCTTATATTCCATTCCATTCTTCACTTGTCCCTTTAATATCTTTTTCTTCACTCTCTGATTCATTCATGTATACAGGGTGGGGCAAAAGTAGGTTTACCATTGTTGCAGTGGAAAATATTACAATAATTAATAAATAATAACACAGAAACTGTTTTGCATACTCACAACCATAAACCTACTTTTGCCCCACCCACTGTACACCTAGGTATGTAGCTATAATTTAAACTGATAAGAACAGATACTATACTTGATCTTAGTCAAAAGGCTGAGAAGCTGTAGCTATAATTTAAAAGCTGAAAATGGCTGATCTTTTTTTCTGAAGTGCTCCAAACAGATATAGGTTAAATTGGACTAGAACTGTTTAAATTTTAACAAAGCAACCATGACAACCCCATGAAGACTGTGGTGAGGAAAAGAACAGAATATCCTCTCTGACCCCAAGGCTCAGAGACCAGTGACCATGTCATCCCTAGAAGCTTGGTTGGCTTAGAGCCCCCAACCCATCTTTTAAATTTTTAACAGTTTCTTGGCCTTTATAATCACAAAAATGAGTCCAGTACCCTTTTAATAATATTAATATCTTATCTTGGTTTTGGAATCTATTGCTTCGAATTGGTAAATCTTTTGAAGAAAAATCAATACACACATTACTGAGTTCCAGTAATGAACAGGCCAAATTATTACTCACCACGCCGAGCACCTGGTTCCCAGCACCCACCTTTGGAGGTCATCCAAGCGCTGTGATAGATTTAAAGAGTCTGACCTGTAAGTATTGATCTCTGTCTGGCAGAAGGAAAAGCTGAGCACCTCACCTTAAGGCAAGCGTATGAATTGATCACACACTGAAACTTGGTGCCTATATAAAGATCTTTCTGAGTAATTAATTAATATGAATCCCCCAAATTAGTTGGGAGGCAAAACAGATATTCTGAGTCTCCTCTACGAACCTTTTCTTATCAGAATCGGATCTTATGCCCCACTTATGAAGGTGAATGAATGGGATTCGAGCCACCCCTTTGTGGATGCTGTCCATTGCTCTACTCCATGCACGCCATCCTGCCTCGGAGCACACTTAACTCTCTCCCTTTCTGTGTGTCTGTCCCTGGATTACAAACTTCTGGGCATCAAGACTGATCTTGTTTGTCTTTGGGCACTGGCAGTGGTGGGCTGGTAAATGCTTAACAACCAGTTCCCTAAAAACTAGTAATAAGGCCTGGATTGTAGTGTTCACTGATTGCCTTGGTAAATCCTCCCACCCAGTCAACTCCAAGCTTCCAACATGACATCACTAAATGCAAAGCTGAGAAGAGAGAAACAGTGGTGCACCATTATACAATAGGTCTACCCACCTCACAGACACAATGGATATAAATAACCTCAAAAATATGGATAGAGTAAAATGTAGTAAATAGGAAGTGATGAGTTTTTGCATATTTATTATCTTGGCTTTTAATATAACTAGTCACTTGCACATTTAGACTTTTTAATAATGTCTAGCCTACAATCAGCTCACAGAAGTCCATGATCGGGTCCAGCTTCCCAGCAGCTTTGCGGTTAAAAACACCACCACAACCAATGGTGAGAAAACTGACTGAGGCTATTTCTCCCAGGAATGTGGTGATTTATTATTTCTCTTAGGGGGAGACAACCGACCCCAAAATAAGTTGGCTCATGTTAAGAGAAAATCTGCAATTTTGTAACATGTCCTGGGATTTTTCCTGCAAAAAGTTGGCATCTTTGGAGCAGATAGACAAGTTTTTTTAGTGATGGCAGAGATGTGGGCACCTGGATATATGGGATGAGAGAACAGTGAATCGGTGATGTGTTATTCAGTGTTCAGCCCCCAAAATCCATGGGTCTGGCATCATATACACCAGGTGCAATATTGGTGTGAGGGATACAAAGAGATATTAGACCAAAGATATATTAGATACGGAGTGATATGAGTCTGCTGGTATGAGGATCAAGGACGGAGTCCCTGAGGAAGGGACAGTTAAGAAGTCTGGATAAAAGAAGAACAGGGCTGGAGACAGAGCCCAGGCCTGAGCCTGAAAAGAAGTCGGTCTGTGACTGAATGAAAAAGAAGCTGAATTGCCTGCCGTGTGGTTGGCAAGAGGGACAGGATGTGAAAGAAGCTGGCCGGGAACAGCACAGTGGTGAGTTGATTCTGGCCCCCACTGCCCAGGTTCATGTCCTATCCCACTTACTCCCTCTCTGTGTGCCTTCGGGAAACTGACTTAACTTCTTTCTGCCTCAATTTCCTTTGTGTAAACAGGGGAAGAAAAAGAGGTCCTGCTCATAGGGTTGTTGTGAAGACTTACTATAAAGTGCTTAGCACAATACTAGGCAAATAGTAGGTGTGCTGATGATATCTGGTAGATTATTATTAGACTGTTTGGCACATGCAGATCTTAATGCATATGATTTTCCCTTCAGATGAGGAAACTGGACCTAAAAGCTGGGTTCAGCAGACAGTCTTTTTCTCCATTAAGTCCCTAGTCAAGAGTGAAAAGTGCACATTGGCTTTTCTCTAATAACAAAGCAGAGACCATGCAAAGACAGTAGCTCTTGAGGCTGAAGAGAAGGAGTACCCATCCCTCTGCAGGAAGAGGGGGAAACATTCTCTCCTAGTTGTCCTCAGTCTTGAGCAAGTCACTTCTCCTCTCTGAGCATAGTTCCCTCATTTTTAAAAGGCTCCATTTAGCTATGAAATTCTATGATTCAATAAAAAATACTCCTTGAACCCAACCTTCAAATGTTGGCCACTTTGCTGAAAATTCAGGGACTGGGAAGAAATCAACAGGGAGATTGGGCTGCTATGACTTTCGCCTCAGCAAGTAGCCCTTTTATTGAAGACCCCTCAGTCATATAGGTTTTCAAATGCGTGTGGTTTTTCTCAGCTTGTCCTTCTGAAATGATGGTCTTAATCATAAATTCTAATTGAAACAGGATCCACCTCAATTTATTTCTAATGCCTCAGAAAAGCAGAACTGTTTCTAGGAATAAATTGAGATGGATTCTGTTCCAATTAACAGTTTGACTCAGTTAAAGTGTTGTTAACCCACTGTTGTCCTCTGATCACCATCCAATTCATGGACAGCAAGTTGCTGGCCTTGCCAGAACTAGCAAGGTGATGAGAGCCATTTAAATATGGTCACCACTTTAAGTGATGTGGATTCAATTCCTTCCTCTCCACCTCACTCCTTATTTTCACCTGAGCTATTTAAGGGGCACTATCAGTTGGCTTGCTTCAACCTGAGGTTAAACTAAGCTATTTTCGCTAAATTGGAAGTAGAATGTTCTCTTCTTATTCTGGCAGATTCTGTCTTAGAAAAATAGAACCAATAGAATGTGTGTACTCAGAGAGAAGTTTATTTTAAGGAATGAGCTCATGTGACTGGACCATCTGACAAATCCGGATGCATGGTGTGGGCCAGCAGGCTAGACACTCAGAGAGGGCTTCCCTGTTACAGTCTTTTTTTTTTTTTTAATATTTTATTTATTTATCTTTAGAGAGGAAGGGAAGGAGAGAAGGAGAGAAATATCAATGTGTGGTTGCCTCTCATGAATTCCCTGCTGGGAACTGGCTTGCAACCTAGGCATGTGCTCTGACTGGGAATTGAATCGCTATAGTGTGGTTCGCAGGCCCATGCTCAATCCACTGAGCTACACCAGCCAGGGACCCTGTTACAGTCTTAAGGCAGAATTTCTTCTTCTGGAAACTTCAGTTTTTGCTCTTGAAGTCTTCACTTGTTTAAATGAGACCCACCCACATTATGGAGGACTATGTCCTTTATTTAAAGCCCACTGATTATAAATGTTAATGACAACTATCAAATACCCTCACAGCAATATTGAGACCAGTTTTTGACTGAGCAATTGGGTGCCATAGTCTGGCCAAGTTGATACATAAAATTAACCATCACAGATTCCATGGGTTATAGTCCCAGTCCCCAGAAGGAATCTGCCTAACCTTGAGACTGGGTAAAAAGGAAGGGAGCAGGCATGAGGCATTGTAACTCTGAGGGTCACCCAGTGCCGCCCAACACTGAGGGGTCAGTTTTTATTTTAGATACCCGTCCCACACCATACCTCTCATCTCATGACTCCAGGTATGATTTTTCCACGGCAGGAATAAAAATGCCTTGTTGGGAAAAGGCAGGACCATGCTTCTCTTTGGTGGCCCAGTAATGTCAGGCTCATAGTAATCTGTAAGCCCACAGATGCCAAGGGGAGAGTAGACATGAACCACAGAATTCTATAAACCACTAGGTAAATGTTCATAATTAAACACCCACCCTGGCAGGCACACCTGGGAGATTTTGAACAAAACAGAGCCTCAGATTTTCCACTTCCACTTGGAAGACAGGAAAGTGAAATGATATGAAATTGATGTGTGTGGAAAGCAAAGTGATTGGGTATTTACATCTATTTAATTAAGGAACACGTTGTAACCTCTATTTACTTCTGTTTAATTAAGGGATTGCTCATTTAGAAGGAGACATCATGCTGGGGCTTCTACTACTTTTGTGATTCAAAGCTCAGCTAAAAGAAGTATGGGAAATAGCTTGGTGATCTTAGCTCAGTCCCTAATGGTGAGAACTTCATAAAGCCAATAAACTACCCTGCCAGATTTGCAAAAAGAGAGTCAAGGGGCTTATCAAGAAAATGATGTCTTCAAGACACAGGAGGTCATTCATGAGAATGTATGTTATTCTGGAATAATTCTAATCAAAAGTTAGAACCACAGTGGATTCTTTGTGGGATAACCAACTGTATTTGAGTAGGAAAGGGAAGAGCCTGGGGAAATTATTAGAGCTTTAAAGGTTCCTTACTTATATGAAATTTATTTAGTTTCTTGACCAACATAAAAATGCCCTCTCAGGGAATAACTATCTCTGCTCAGGCAGAGGCAGAAAGGTAAGAGGGAAGGCAGAAGGGGAATGTGTTTTTTATATACATGACAGTTCCCATCTTACTTAGGTATCGATTATATCTTTTCTCCATGAGGTAGGCATTTCAGGATGAAGGTGACTCATTACTTCATCTAACATCTTATTATCCTTTTCCACGTTGCCCTAAGAAATGTCCCTAGAGCACCTCTATTCTTTTTAAGTTCCATGAGTCCCTGGCAAGTAGAAGAGGAGAATGGAAGGAGAGCTATTTGAGAAGGAAGGAAGGAAGGAAGGAAGGAAGGAAGGAAGGAAGGAAGGAAGGAAGGAAGGAAGGAAGGAAGGAAGGAAGGAAGGAAGGAGATGGTAAGTAATTTTAGGGGGT